GGCCAGCTTTAGCTCTGAGGCCTTGCTGCTGAAAACATAGATACAATGTTGCGGTCCGAGCCCGGCTGAATGGAAGCCCTTTTCTGGGGTTTTGTTTAGCTTCTTATTTGCAACATAGTATATAGTTGCTTAGAGTTGCAACTGAGAGGCTGGCAAGTTAGGCGGGGAACGTTGGAGTCTGCAGCAAGCAAGCCTCGTGCTCGCTTCAGTGCCTGGCTGCCGGCCGCCATCTTGGCTGACAGTTAATTTGCATATACTCACTGATTAGCCAATGAAAACGGTAGCAGTCGTACGCCAATTACCATGTTTCTCTTTTATTAGTGTAGATTTCTCATATAAAAACACTCTTGGTCAGGTTGGGAGGTACTTAAAAATTTGTTTCACTTTCTTGATATGCTGAGAGAAAGCATGACATGTTTGGTTTGTTTTTTGATTTGAGGAAGGAATTGCAGATCATCATTGGTACTCATTTAAATTATCAAAATTTCAAGAGCAAGTTAATGTTGCTGATTTATTTGATATTTGTATACGACTATTTTATATTTATACACAGATAATTAAAATAGAAGAATACTTTGAAAAAGCCATGTTGTAAATGAAAAGTTTAAATGACTTACCAAATCATTCACAGGTAGGAGTGATGAAGCCAGGAGTGTCATTCTTTTCCTTGTGATTTCAAATTTTAAAATTGTCATGTAGTAATAACTTATTATTATCATCAGTATGAAGTATTACCTGTGGCTAAATGAATCATTACTGTTATATATAGAATTATGGAGTCACTCAAAATTTTGCTTTGGGATCCAGGGTCAGTAGTTATTCCAGAAGCTCAATGGACAGTCACTATGATAAGAAAACCAGTGACCAACTAATTATGTCTAAAATACAGAATAATTACTTAAGCAAGTGTATAAATATACAAAGCAAAAATGACAAAACCTCACTCTGTATCCGACTTGGTATAGAGAGATGAAAATAATTTTCATTTCATAAATTATTTTTAGTTTCTCTCAACAAAGTCATTGAAATTGGAAACATTTCTTTATTTTTCTGTTTCCTTTTATTTTGACATAGTAAAAAATTCATTGTGGTGAGTTTATTAATAAGCATTATTTTATAAATAGTCTGGATATACTAGTACAAGCTGCATTTGTAAATACCGAACTAATAAAAATCATAATAATATAATTGAAATGTGATATTAAAAATTATTTCAGCATATTACATTTCAAATTGTGTCATGATCAAAGTTTCTGAAAATGTGACATCATCTCCCCTGGGTGATTTAATTTTATTATAAAACTCCAAAATTACTTAATATCATCACTGCCTTTTTGTAATACCTGACAGACTCTTCATAAAACATTAAAGCATAATATCAGATTTAAAAAAAAGTATACTGTCAACAGACTAAGGGCTGCCAGAGGGGACGGGGTTTGGGGACTTGTTGACAAAGGTGAAGGAATTGAGAAGTACAGATTGATAGTTACAAATTAGTGATGGGGATGTAAATATAGCATAGGAAATGTAGTCAATAATATTTTAATAACTATGTATGGTGCCAGTTGGGTACTGGGAATATCAAGGGGAACACGTTGTAAAATATATAATGCTGTACACCTAAAACTAATAAAAAAACAGTAATATCAAATGTAAACTGTAATTAAAAAATTTTAAATTAAAAAAATGTAAAAAGATATTGCCTGGCATTTTAATCTTATCTTGTTTGTGGCATGTGGTTGTAGACAGAGGTTATTATGAAAAGTTGGGGAAAATAAGAAATAAATTTAGGTATACTGTACTTGATTTGCACTTGGAAAAAAATCCAGAAGATTTGAGAGATGGATAATTGGGAGGCACAAACATAGTGGAGACTGACTGAATGAAAAGTCTTTCTACTTCAGGGTGTGAAGAAAGACTATCATCTGGGTCAAATGACATTGGGGTTGTTTTATACTTTTGGGAATCTATACTGCTATGCCTGACATATTGAGTCAGTGTCCCAATAGAGATTTTTTTAAAATGTCTCCCAACAGAATCAAAATTAACACTTAAAAAGGAACCAATTTGGGTTGGAGTTGGAGAAAAGATAAATAGGTGGCACACAGATGATTTTTAGGAAAGTGGAAATATGCTGAGTGATACAATAATGATGGCTACAAGTCACTATACATTTGTCCAAACCCATACAATGTAAAACACCAAGCATAAACTTTAATGTAAACTATGAACATTGGATGATTACGATGTGTCAATGTAGATTTATCAATTGTAATAAATGTACCACTTTTGTGGGGGATGTTAATAATAGGGGAGCTATGTATGTGTGGGGCAGGGGCTAAATGAAAAATCTCTCTCTTTCCCTCTAATTTGCTATAAACCTTACACTGCTTTGAAAAATAAAATCTCAATATTATTAGAGGTTAAAAAAAAGAATCAATCTACTCAAAATTCTTTTAAATGGAAATAAACCAATGAAAGAGTTTTCCTCATCCAACTTTGTGAGCAGTCTCTATGTCTATTCCAATTTGGACTCCAATGTGCAAGATTCAATTAACCCCCAGAGGCAAGTAGAATCTATTGAAGAGGCACCGATAAATTAAGCATTTCTACCTGACTTTACTTGTTTCTTATCGTGATAACAAATCTAAAATTATCACTCTTGAGGCAGAATAACTTCTCACAAAAATTTATACACATGTTAGCTTTAGAGCATACCATTCCATCCATACTTCACAGAATTAACTCTGCCATGTGCCCAATTTCCTTTAATTTCTGAAACTGAAGAGTAACATTTGGAGGCCAAAAGGAAGGTCCATGCTAAATACTTTCAACACATAAAAGGTGAAAATGCTTTATACTTCATTTAACTATTTTACTATTTGCACTATAATGTGTTAATGATATAGAAAAACAAACAATACGAGCTTTCAAAAGTTTCCTTTTTAATTAAATGTTTTAAACCCCTCCACAAATTCCTTATTTTCTTATTATAAATACCAGCCACATTGTTCTTAAGCAAATGCTCACTTTAAGGACTGCATCCAATTATTTCCCTTTAAACTTCTGACCTGGTGAAAGAAGCAGGGCCTCTTTCCAACAGGATAGTTTACTTTTTTTGTGATTCTTAGATGGGGGAGCATTGGGAACAGGAATAAAAGTAGGCTTCATCTCATTTGTCTCTATATGTGGGAACAAGGCCAGAAAGTCAGCATGCCTCCAACGTAAAAAGAGCTGAGAGTGTTATAAAACATGTTTCCACCTTTCTGCCCTTTGGGGGTTAAATACAGGGTGGATTGTCTGCTTTGGCAGCTCCTAAAATTGGTCTAAAAAGATACAGGAAGTCTCATAAAATTCTCACTATCTAGAATGACATTCTTAGCTATGGGATTAAAACTACACTATAGAAAGAGACAAGATGTAATAGCTTGAAATGCCAAAATTTCATGAAAATATTGTTTCTTGGAAAACTAAGGTTATTACACAGATATTCACAATTTTAAGCTTACCCAAAAGCATGCCACAGGGGCTGTGGCCACCTCTCCCCCACACAGCCAGATTCCAAAATGAACTTTTCACCAGCCCTCATGACTGATTCCAGTATGACTCAAACAGAATTCCATTTGCATGGTTTTGTTTCACCAAAAGCAAATTGAGATTTGCACATGTGAATAAATCATAAGAGCATCCAGTCCACAAGAATTAATTGATGCCTACAGAAAATTCAGGTTTCTTACATAGGCATGTTTCATTTTATTGCACTTTGCTTTATTGTGTTTTGTAGACACTGTGTTTTATACAAATTAAAGGTTTGAGACAACCCTTGTTGAGCAAGTCCATCAGCATCATTTTCCCAACAGCATTTTCTGTGTGTCACATTCTAGTAATTCTCTCAATATTTTAAATTTTTAAAATAGTACTTGTTTTTTAAAATTATTATTTGTTTTTTCATTATTATTATTATTTCGTTATTATTTGTTATGGTTATCTGTTATAAGTGATCTTTGATGTTACTATAGTAATGGTTTTGCGTTTCCATGAGCCATGACTCTATAGGAGGGCGAATGCAATGGGAAATGTTGTCTGTATTCTAACTGCTCTACTAACCTGTTGTTCCCCAATCTCTCTTCCACTCTTCAGGCCTCTTTATTCCCTGAAACACAACAATATTGAAATTAGACCAATTAATAACTGTACAATGCCCTATAAGTGTTCAACTAAAAGGAAGAGTTGCATGTTTCTCAACTTAAATCAACATTTAGAAATGATTAAGCTTAGTGTGTAGGGAATGTTGAAAGCTGAGATAGGCTGAAAGCTGGATCTCTTATGCCAAATAGTTATCCAAGTTCCGAAAGCAAAGAAAAGCTCCTTATGAAAAGTAAAAGTGCTACTCCAGTGAACACAGAAATGATAAGAAAGCAAAACAACCTTATTGTTTATATGGAGAAAGTTTTAGTGTTCTGGAGAGATCAAACCAGCCATAACATTTTCTTATACCAAAGGATAATCCAGAGAAAGGTCCTAAGTCTCTTCAATTCTTTGGAGGCTGAGAGAGGTGAGGAAACTGCAAAAGAAAGAGAGAGGTATGAAGCTAGCAGAAGTTGGTTCATGAGGTTTAAGGGAAAAAGCCATGCCTATAACATAAAAGTACAAGGTATAGCAAGTACTGAGGAAGAAGCTGCAGCAAGTTATCCAGAAGATCTAGTTAAGATACTTACTGAAAGTGGCTACACTAAACAACAAATTGGCAATGTAGATGAAACAGCATTATACTGGAGATACCATTTAAGACTTTCATAGCTAGAAAGGAGTACATCTGGCTTCAAAGTTTCAAAGGATAGACTGACTTTGTGGTAGGGGTTGATGTAGCTGGTGACTTTAAGTTGAAGCCCATACTCATTTATAATTCTGAAAAGCTTAGGACCCTTAAGAATTATATTAAATCTGCTCTGATTTGTGCTCTATAAGTGGAACAACACCACCTGAATGACAGCACATCTGTTTACAACATAGTTTTCTAAATAATGTAAGCCCACTGGTGAGACCTTTCGCTCAGAATAAAAGATTTCTTTCAAAATATCACTGTTCATTGAAAATGCACCTGAAAACCCAAGAGCTCTTCTGGATATGTGCAACAAAATTAATGTTGTTTTTATGCCTACTAACACACCATCAATTCTGCAGCCCATAGTCTAGGAGTAATTTTGACTTTCAATTCTTATTATTTAAGAAATACATTTTGTAAGGCTATGGCTGCCACAGATATTGAGTCCTCTGATGCATCTGGACAAAGTATATTTAAAACCTTCTGGAGCCCTAGCCGGTTTTTCTCAGTGGATAGATCCTCGGCCTTTGGACTAAAGGGTCCCCGGTTCGATTCCGGTCAAGGGCATGTGCCTTGGTTGCAGACATATCCCCTGTGGGGTGTGTGCAAGAGGCAGCTGATAGATGTTTCTCTCACATCGATGTTTCTAACTCTCTATCCCTCTCCCTTCCTCTCTGTAAAAAAATCAATTATATATATATATATATTTTAAAAAGAACCTTCTGGAAATGATTCACCATCTAAATACCATCAAGAATGTTTGTGATTCATGGGAAGAGTAAAAATGTTAATATTCAATGAAGTTTCAAAGAGGTTGATTCTAACTCTCATGGATGACTTTGAGGATTCAGGATTTCAGTGGAGGAAGTAATTTCAGATGCGGTAGAAAGAGCAAGAGAACTAAAATCAGATGTAGAGCCTAAAGAAGTGACTGAATTGGTTCCATTTCATAATAAACCTTTAATGGATAAGGAGTTGCTTCTGATAGATGAATAACAAAAGAGGTTTCTTGAGACAGAATATAAACCTCGTGAAAATACTGTGAAGATTGTTGATATGACAAAAAATATTTTAAAATAATACATAAATGTAGTTGATAAATCAAATTTCGTAGTCTTATTTTAAGTTATTGGCACACCTACCCCATCCTTCAACAGTCACCACCTGATTAGTGAGTACTCATCAACATCAAGAAAAAACCTCCACCAGCAAAAAGAGTATGAATTGCTGAAGGCTCAGATGGTAGATAGGATTTTTAATCAATAAAATATTTTAATTAGATATTCCAGACTGACCGAGACTAAAGAGATGTGACTGCTACATGCAACAAGTGATGCTGAGCTGCATTTGCTTGCCATAAAGGAATTGTTGGAAGATTTCAATATGGCAGCAGAGTAAGTGGAAACAACACTGACACTCTCCCAGGACCAAACGGGAATTATAACTAAAATACAAAAAAAACATCCTGAATAACCAACTGAAGACTAGCTGGGGAGAAACCTGTTAACCAAGGATGAAATGTGAAGACTGCATAGAGACTAGTTGGGTGGAGGCATGAAAGGGCTGGCCAGGCTCCCCCAGACAGCAGCTGAAGTTCTGGAGGGATATCTCAGCTATGGGGTGGTGGATGGGTGGGGGGGAAGATTTACACTGAGAACTCTGGAGTTTAAACACCAAGATGGGCCCCCAGCCAACAGCACTTGAACTAAGAAAGGTGCTCATAGAACATCTGGCTGTGAAAAGCAGCAAGGTTGCAATCTTCCAAGGAGAGATGGCTGGAAATGCAAACACCTTCTTAAAGGGCCAAATCACAAAATTTCATGTGCAGCCACTCACCTTGGGTTCCAGCAGAGGGAGGACAGAGTGGACTGGAGCTGTGTGAGGAGAATCCAGGGTTGAGGGATCTTGGGTGAGAGCACAGAAGGCAGACACCTCAATTTCCCGTGCTGAGTCATTCCCTCAAACAGCAGAGGACATCTTTCTCCTGCAGACCTTTACCATTCAGGTATCTTTTGCCTGGGGGGTTGGGGGGAGCAATTTCCCCACCCTGTTAGAAAACCTCTTGCTCCACCCTGTGACCCATAGCCTGAGGCTAATCAATCCAATTATATCAGACTACAGGCAGAGGTGGGTCTCTGGAGGCTTTGAGTCCATGTTTGATCAAATTTGGGGCTTGGGGCTAGGAAAAGCAGATCCTGGTGCACATCTTGGTCCTTTCCAAAGGAATCCAGCCCAAGCAGAGGGAGCCACAAGCTGTGGCTTGCTAATAGCTACAAACAGGATACTCAGGGCCAGTCACAAGCAGAGTCTGATACTGCCCAGTACTAGAGATTGGGAGTCATAGCTGCTATACCTAATATATAGACACAAACCCAAACAGGTAGCCAAAATTGGAAAACAAAAAAATAAGCCCCAAATGAAAGAACAAGAGAATTCTCCAGAATAAGAGCTAAATGAAATGGAGATAAGAAATTTATCAGACATAGAGTTCACAATAATGATGGCAAGCATGCTCAACAACACGAGAAAAGACATTGCAATATGAAGAATGAAGAATTACATAGCACTAATAAAGAGCACAGTGGAAGGAATATCCAACAGATTAGGGAAAGCCAAGAATTGTATCACTAAATTAGAAGACAGGTATAAAAAAGATAACTCAATCAGAGATCAAAAACAAAACAAAACAAAACAAAAACAATTTAAAAACAGGAGGACAGCTTAAGGGAGCTGTACGTCAACATGAAACATAGTAATCCTAATATATAAAAACTCAGGGTCCATAACGACCGACCGAAGGCTCCACCGAACACTGGAAGTCAGTCCTGCAGTCAGTGCTGGGTTTCCGTGGTGACCCAGCACTGACTGCTGCTGGTGCAGGCACAGCGACCCAGCACTGACTTCCAAGGGAGCTGTGGATCAGGCCTGGAGAGAGGCTGGGAGAGAGAGGCAGGGTCTCATCCACAGCCTCCATGGCAACTGTTGAACAGCTGTTGCCTCTCTCTTTCTCTCTGGGCTTTGCCAGCAGCCACAACTCTCTTTCTCTTACTCTGGGCCTCTGTGGGGGCTGCTGATCAGCCCTGCCTCTCTGATCAGGCCAAGCGATAGGCCCAGAGACACTGACTGGCATAGAAACTGACCAATCAGAACTAAATCTGGGTGAACTGTGAGGAGCCAATGGCTGCCTAGAAGATGGAGCTTTTGATGCTGACTGGCATAGAAACTGACCAATCAGAACCAAATTGACCAGCAGGGGAGGGCAGTTGGGGGTGAGATCAGGCTTGCATGGGAGGGCAGTTGAGGGTGAGATCAGGCTTGCATGGGAGGGCAGTTGAGGGCGCAATCAGGCCAGTGG